TGACGAATAGTTAGGAAAAGAAAAGAAACCCCCCTCCAAGCTGTAACATCACCTCTGTAATCCCGATCTATAACTCCAGCTGCAACATCAATCTCTTTTACTGCAAGTCCACTTCGAGGTGCAACACATCTGTAGCTGTGTGGAGGAATAACACATTTGAGTCCAGTTCTGACTAAACTCCTAGTTCCTGGTTCAATGATAATTTCATCTGCAGCTGCCAGATCAAATCCTGCTGCATGCTCTGAGCCTTGCTTGGGAATAAACACAAATTCCTTGGTCTTTTTGAAGATCAGTGGTTTGGGTTGGAGATACCTATATCCCCAACCTTCACTATCTTCGTCATAAATGTTGATACCTTCTCGTTGAAATAGTATTTCATCAGAATGATCATCAACATTTGATATAGGCTGAGGTGCTTTTGGATGTTTCTTATGAAATTCATTAACTAGTTTCTGAACTTTCTTGAGTGCCTTGGGTGGTTCCCAAGTGTTGTCTGACTCTGTGTATCCCTTCCAGCGTACTCAATACATAATTTTGTTATTATTATCAAGTCTGGCGTTGACTATCTTCTCAACTTCATATTCAGTTTGACCTCTGACTACAACTGGAGGTGGAGGTTTCTGCTTTTGTCTGGGAATTTTGTCTTCTTTGAAGACATGTAGACAGGACAAGTGGAACACTGGATGCACACTGTAAGACTTAGGAAGTTATAGTCTAGATGTAACCAGTCCCAATTGTTCCACTATCTCAAATGGTCTGTAGCATCTTGGCAAGAGTTTTCGATTGTATGTCTGTAGCTTCAGATCCGAAGCATCTAGGAGACATTTATCACTGACTTTGAATGTAACTTTGGTAACATTCTTGTCATAATACCATTTCATTCTCTCTGCTGCCAATACTAACACTGCTTTTGCCTGTTCTTGCGCTTTGTGCCTTGAAATTACATAGTTATCAAGTTCAGGGTGCTTTGCAGCCTGCAACTTGCTGGGTAACATTTTTGGGTGAAATCCTAACTCCGTCATGAACGGAGAAGCCTTGGTACTTTTGTGTGCTTGATTGTTGTATGCAAATTCTGCCAATGGTAGATAATTTGCCCAATCATGCAATCTACTACTGCAGAGATGTGAAGGTATGTTTCCAAGCTTTGATTTACTCATTCAGTTTGACCATCTGTCTGTGGATGATATGCTGTTGACATTGCCGATTTGATTCCTAGTAGTTTGCACCACTCTTGGAATAGTTTTGAAGAGAATTGTGTTCCCTGATCCGAAATGATCTTCTCTGAAAGTCCATGTAATGTCCAAATCTGTTGGTACATTAATAACGCAAGATCCTGTGTTGAGAATTCTTTGGTAATTGGTAAAAAGTGTGCTCTCTTTGTAAATCGGTCAACTATCATGCATATTGAATTATTGTTAAGGGACCTGATGACTGAGAATCAAGAGTTCCACTTAAGACTACTACTGATAAAAGTACTGCTATGTGTAAGGCTGGATGCGCTATACTAGAACTAGACTTAGAGACTGAGCCACTGCAACTGGCA